GTTAATCTAGTCACTCTGCACTCAGCAGGCTGCCTTAGACAGCTCAGGGTGGTGCAGAGTCCCTCCTGGGGGTGGGGATATTGGGTCCTCTCATGCTGCTGCTGCTCAGGGGAGCGGTCTGCCTGAGCAAGATGGCTACTGCCATAGGAGGGAGGAGTCAGTACCAGGATCCTGCCAGCCACTCTCTCAGTTTTCTCCCCAAAGCCTCCTTCCCCAGTCTCTCTCCAGGCATCTCTAGCTCACTCTGCTCCACTTTGCTGGAGACCAGGGTAAGTGGTTGCAAATAAAAATTTGTGCTTTGGCCCTTAAAACAGCTTTTTGTGTCTCCAGCCGCCCATCTCTGGCAGAGAGCAACCCTGCCATTTTTTGCAGCCAGCTGATATCTGTGTACTTTTTGGGCTCTGGTGCTGTAGGCTGGAGATTCCCGCTAATGGTTTAGACCCCACTCTTCTCAGGGGGATCCAACTGGCCATTTAAATATCCCTCTGGTGCTGTGGGCACCCTGCCAGCCTTCTCAAGTCTCCACCGCACTCCTTACCAGTCAGGTTGTGCTAAAGCTGATTCTTCTGTCTTTCTGAGGTTATAAGGCTCCTCTCTCTCTATTGTTCAGTTGTTTGTTCCAAGTGATTTTTCCACAATTTAGTTGTAATTCCAGATTGGTCCTGGGAGGAGGTCAGTGTGACTTCCACTCACTCCTCCGCCAGTTGATTTTCCTCTGAACTTATTTTAAATAGCGACTTTTTAACTTGAAAACATCTCTTGAACGTTACTCCTAGAAATCGGGAAAAATTCGAAGATAGGAGGGAAATAGAGCACATTTCCTTGGGGGAGCGGCTCCCCCAGCTCCGACCCGGGCGTGTCCGGCTGGGGATGTGCAGTCGGGACACGTACAGCCAGATGGGCAGCGGAAGTCTGGTCCGACGTTCAGGTGGGACCACGAGTGCCCAGTCCCCGCTGCGCTCCCGCTGACGGTCCCCTCTTTGTCTGCACGTGTGCAGGCGCGAGCTGGTGTCTGACAAAGGCGAGGGCAATGCCCGAGCGCTCCCGCTGAGATTTGGTGCAGTTTACTGCGACTGTAAACCTCCGGAGATGTGAGGAGAAGGGAGGGAAGGCCTTGTAATCTCACCGCCCCGAGATACTATTAACACGCATTTATCTATAAAACATATATGAGCACACACTTTTTATTTCAGGTTTCTGAGGTGGCATGATGTGCTATAGAAAAAATAATGTATAATTTAAACCAATTTGTGTGTGTATATTTATGTATATATGTAGATTAATACATACTTTTAGCTAATATAGCCTCATATAGTAGTTCTGCTTTTCTCTTGTTTTTAGCTTCTCTAGATTATGTTAAATTATGAAAATAAATAGTCATCATTTTTTAGCAGCTGCATTTTTGTATCATGTTGTGTTTATATTTTTTAATTGTAAGCCTACTTAAATCTTTCTATTTTAGTAGGAAATGTTTAAAAATCAACTAAGAATAAAAATGCACAAGGATTATGAGACTCAATTAAAATCCTTTTCAACTCTTTCTTGGATGCTTAATTTTAAATGGACCTTCTTTAGATCTCTTGTCACTAAGAAATTTATTTTGTTTAGTATAGTTTTTTTCTCTTCACATTTTGTCTCTTTAAATAGTGTTTACTTTTGTCTATAGTCTTTATGGATCAAATTGTAAGAAAATGTAATAGTTCCTTTTCACTCGAATGTATTGAGTTCCAGTGGAATTTCCCCCTCTGTTTCTGAGATCTTAATTAGAGTATGGAAGAATATTATACGCAGCCACTGAACTTTAAATCAACCATGATAATACAAATTCCTTTAAGTTCTAGTCATAAATTTGGATTCATTCCTAAAATCCCACCTCATATATAGGAAATATCAAGAGTGATCACAAAAAGGAAAGTATAATTATATGCATTGTTATAAAGATTTATAAAACATTCCAAAATAATTACCACGGAAAGGTGTACTTACTAGGAAATTCACTAGGGTGTTTTTTTTTCCTCCTTCTTTTTTGCATGAGCTATTATTCTTCCTAAATCTTTAGAAATTATTACAATGACTTTTAGATTTAGGATGGTTTTTTCTTTTTAAAATACATTTGTGTTTAATAAGCGTAGCTAGCCTGCTTCCGAAATTAGTTTTTCTTTTCCGTCTTTATCCCCCCGCCGGAATGCGAATCCTGGAGAACAGGCAGGGGCGGGTGTCGGCGGGCAGGGGGTTCATAGCGTGTGTTTGCTGAGTGAGCAAAGGCTCCCGGAACCCTTCGGCCGCATAAAAATTAGTGTCTGCTGTTCGAGCATTTTTCTTGCGAATTAATCGTTCATGAATGATTCAAACCCTGGTATCCATGACAATTTCCTTCCTTCCCGCCATCCCCTGGCCTTTCCTTTAAGCAAGCGTCCCTGCTGAGCCACGTGGACACCAGCAGGTCAGTCCCGAGTGTGCGTGGGGAGTGGACGGATGCCCGGGGCCGGGGGTCTTCCCCGGCCACCCCTGGGTGATCGGCAGGGAGCCGGGACGTGCGTGCGGAGGCCGGAGGGTGTCTCCTCTCTGTTCCTTTGGAAGTGTCTTGTGGAAGAAAAGTTCTCAGTGTCAAACTGTATTGTTAGGATATTGTTTCACTACAGACTCACGAGGTGGCGAGAGACGTCGCCTTGGCCCCACGGGACTGCTGCTTGGGGCCGCGATCGTAATGTGGTCGCAGGCACTGGTACTCGGCCTCCGGGACGCTCCTCCCTGTGGCGCCCCCCTGAGAACGGAAGTTCAATAAACTCTTTTCAGCGTGGTCAAGTGCTCCTTGGGCAAGAGCCGCCACCGGAGGAGAACCCCCACCCGGGCAGCGGGGCGCGGGGGTCCCTGCCGGCAGGTGTCCCACTGTGGCCATTGATGTCCGCACTCACACACAACATGCATGCGCGCTCCCCAGCTGCAGGGGACTTGACATTCGTTCAACAAAAATTATTTGATGTCCAAATCGATGGAAGAGATAGAGGATGCATTTCTAAATCGGCACATATGGTAGACAATCTGGAAAGCAGCTAAAATAGTCTTTCCAATACATTACACTACCCACTGGGCAAAAAAAAAAAAAAAAAAAAAAAAAAAAAAAAGGCTTCTTGTAAATACATCTCAGCAGAGCAGGAGGAGCACGTGGGCACAGAGGTCTGGACAGCCGGGCGCTTCCCCCGGGAGCCGGCGTTCGCACGGAGGGCCGAGCCGTGACGCCGCTGCTTGTCACACGTGCCACTCACCCACCCGGCTTTTCAACCAGCGCATCGATTGTCTTAGCTAAAATCTTACCGTTAAAAACATAAAAGCCTCTTTACCTTTAGAATCTGTTAATGAACTTGCTGTAATGATTAAAACCAAGTAGTCCGATCTTCCGAAAGGTTTCGGAGAGGGAGAGGGGTTAGGGGCCGAGGAGGGAATGAAATATTTCTGGGATGGGCTTTTGCTGTAGAAGGTGTTTTCCTGTAGCACGCTGATTCTCAGGGTGCCAGCCGCAATACTGAATTGTGTAGGATTATAAGAAAAACACATAAGCAACCGTGTATAATGAGAGGATACAAGCAATAGGTGCTTTTTATCGAACGCTGGCCGTTGTGCGCCTGTCCCGGCGTGGTAAGTTGTAAAGGGTTCCCAGGCGAAGTCCGTGTGCCGCCCGTGTGGACAGACGGTTTACTCGGAGGAGGACAGGCTGGGCGGGTGAGTGTGTGGTGCGTGTACGTGTTTGTGTGCGAGCGTGCTTATGTGGGTGCTGTGCATGTGAGTGTGCGTGCATGTTGTGTGTGAGTGCGTGCACATTGTGAGTGCATCTGTGAGTGTGCGTAGCTGCGTGTGTGTTGTGTACAGCGTGTGTGTGGTGCGGGGGGCCTTGACTGGCAGGGAAGACTCTGGGTTCGGGCACCAGCCTGGGGGCTACTGGCGGATGTGTGATTTGGGACTAAACTTGGTGTTATTCCTGGAAGTGGAAGGTAGGCAGTGGATCGGAGAAAGCTTAGGAAGAGCAGGAGCCAGCAGGCCCCGCAGTTTACTTAGCAAGGCTTTGAGAGGGAAGGAAGAACCGCGGCCCTGTTGGAACTTGCGGGGCGTGTTTCATCGGCGTCCGGGTCGGCCGGGCTGCGCTCAGGGGGCCCGCGGGCGCCCTGGGGTTGGGCGTGGGAGGCGCGTGCCGGCGCCGCGTTGGGCAGGGTCTGAATGCGGCACAAGTCGCGGGCAGCGGCAGGCAGAGGGAAGCCCGCCGCCTGGGAGGGGTCTGCAGGGGCCGCACAGACAGACACCCTCTGTTTGGGCCGGAACCAGCGAGCTCGGCATGGGACACTCAGAGCCAGTGGGCCTCGAGTGGAGGCTTGGCCAGCTGGTTTCTTGTTCCCTGTTGGTCACACAGGGGTATCCTTGCCACGTAGCCAGCCCCACAGGGAGAGCCCTTCAGAGGGTGTCACCTGGACCAGTGTGACCCTCCAGCCTCACCTTACCAGTAGCCAGTGCTGAGCAGCTGGCGCAGACCGGGTGGTGGTGTCGCTGGGTGGCCTCGTGTCTCGACCAGGGTGCTGCGCAGCACCTGTCGTATTTCAGCGAAGTCGTGCTGGCAGCACCCTTACAGCCCGCGTGCCGGCGGGCATTCGAGGTGCTCGTGCCGGCTTTGTGATTTAGAACGTGGCACGCGTCGCAGGTGTATTTCTCTCCGCGTGTATTTGAACGAGCCGCTGTGCGGCCATCTTTGCAGGCCGACCATTGCGTAGGTAATCTCGAAAGGACTAGCAAGGTGTATTGTTTCGTGTCCCTCCGAAATTAATGCACACGTCCAGCTCTACATTTGTCAGGTGATTTTTGTTTTACAGACGTTAACAAGCGAATTCTTAGCTTTCTTAAGCAGAAGCATGGCAAAGGGGCCTTAGTGTACTGAGAGCGCATGGCATGCTGTGTGTTCAGGCCCTGCTCTGCGTTTCTAACTGTGTTTTTCCCCTTCCTTCTCCCTCCCCCAGATGAATCGGCTCCTAAGGAAGTCAGCAGGGTGAGTACTGTGAGTATAATTTCTACTACCCCTGGGTGGGAAATAAATCCTTTTGTGTCTCTCTCAAGGCTGTAACGTGTTCAAGTGTCAGAAAACCAGTCACAGCAGCCGACGCCCCCCCCAGTGTGGGGTGGGGTCGGGGCGCGGAGGCTGCAGTCTCAGGACGGACCACAGCCGGCGGGGGGACCCTTTGCTGGGCCTGCTGGCGGGTTGTCCGAATTAGCTGCCAACACAGGAACTGCGAGACTGCGTATCGAGATGGGACTCTTGGCCTGGGAAAAGCCGGGGTCAAGGCTCCGACATGGGATTTCCATGCGGCGCGAAGCAGCCGCGGCCTTCGCCGCGGCCCTCGGCAGCTCTGCCTCGTGTGTGACTGGCGGGGGCCTGCCTTTGAGCCCCGGCACCCTCTCTGCGGGGAACAGAAGGCGACCCCTCAGGTGGCGAAGACGCGAGCTTCCAGTCCTTTTAGAAATATTACGTGAACCGTTTTCGCATCCGAGAGAATGCTTAGCGTCCACTTCGAGAGGCTCAGCAGAGTTAAAAGCTTATGGGGGACAAGTGCTGAGAGCACTTAGCAAACTGTGTTTGATTCTACACAATTATAATTAATTACATATGAAAAGTATCTTAATTATCTATCCTGCATACAGATAAAAATCTTACAGGCGGATTAAATGTTGAAAATAATCAGCTGAATTGCATCTGATGCCACCACGTGCAAGAGATCACTCACGCAAGTCATAAGCCATAACCGGAAGTGCTTTCGTACGATCGCGCATACAGACATCTTCCCTCATTTTTGATCATGTGAAGAAAGGGCTCTCTAACGTTACCAGGGCCTTTGCTGGAATCTGGGTGGAACGCCCTCTGCCCTAGCAGGCACTTAGGGTTTCCGTACATCCCAGCGTCTGACTGGGCACCTTCCTGCTCACTTCACGGTGACAGGGCTCCGAGAAAGGGCCACTTCCCACGGTATCGGGGGCGGAGGGGTCAGCCTGGGATGTGTGCAGCCTCTGGGGGCAGCAGAACAGGCTGAAGGCGACACCTGAGGATAAAGAGAGGGTCCTCGCAGGGGCACGTGGTCAGGGACGGGGGTGCCGGCGCCGGCGCCGGGCGCGCTGCTGTCCCGGGCCTCTGAAGCCATGTGTCGTTTGCACGTCAGCGGCAGGACGAAGTGTAACGCATCCACGTTCCTGAGGACCGGGCTGGCTTCGGCTTCCAGCAGCGCCCGGGCTCGGTGTCGCCGCCCGGCGCGCCATCTTCCCCGGTGGCCCGGGAGGGAGGCGGAAGGGGTGCCCGGGGGGCATTCGCCCCATCCGGGTGTTGTCTTCCACCTGTCCTGCCGCAGCCGGCTCCGAGCTGCACCCTGAAACTTGCTTCTGTCCCTGCGTCCCCTCCGTTCTCCCGTTGCCGGAACTCTCCCCAGTGTCCTCGCGCGGGAAGACTGGGTGCCGCGGCGTCATGAGTGGCTCTGCTGCTGCAGCCGGCTCCTCACACATAAGCCGGTCTGTTTGGGGAGAACAGTTGTCTAGACAAAGAGCAGGCCTTTCATTAGACACGTGTCTGTTTAATAAAGTATCGCCCCACGACGCCATAGAGCAGGGGACGGCGGGCCTCCTTCCCCGCGGAGACAGGAGAGGCGGGCAGGCCGCGCAGTGTCAGCGCGTGAGAAATGGCGCTGGCTCCGCGTGGCGGGGTTCCTTTGCTATGATTTTATGAGTCCCTTTTACTTTATGCCAAGTTTGGAGACAGTGCATCTCTAATTGAGAAATACTGAATATTTGAGCTGATAACCTACAATTTTATCAGTTGTTGGGATAATTCAAAGTTGTTTTCCCCCTGAACTTACCCTGTACCTTGAGCGATACTTATTTGGCTGACACGCAGATTTGGCGTTATAAAATAGCCTGTCATCGTTTCAAACTGGAATTAAGACTTAGAGGCAGCCAGGGCGGTCTCCCGGGGGCCAGCGGCTGCCACAGGCTCCTGTCGGAGCGCGTCCGTGGTCAAACGCACGGTCTTCGGGAGGCCGACGGCCGCAGCGCGCAGTTCTGATTTGTGAGACACGTCCTCGTGAAAGGTCCTCTCCTTCGTTGTCACATGTTAGTATAGTTTCAGCTCTTGTGGCAACGCTGAAGAGGCCTTCCCCTCGCTCCTCGGACAGGCCCTTTGAACAGAGGGATGTGTGTCTTGTGCGGTGAAACACGCTCACTTCAGAGATACGTTTTCCTGCCTGGCTCCTTGGGATCTGGGCTGAGCTGCTCCGGGTGAAGTGTATGAGGGGACCCCCCAAAACCCCAGAATTTATTTATAAAAAATTGTGAATTTATTCTTTCATGTTTAAACTTCCACCACCCCCCAAGTCCTCTCCATTTGGTGCAGTGCACCGGTCGAGATTTTTTTTCCTCTGCTCAAAACAGTCTTTCCAGCTTATAAGTCACAAAGATTTCTAAGAAGAAAAGGAGAGGAAACCTCAAAAGCAGAGTATCTGGAGGCTGTGTTGCTAGAACTTACGGAATGGTAGCCAGGCCTTTGCCCCTCAAACTGCTGTACACATGTCCTATTACATTCCAATTAAAAACGTTGCTTTTTAAATTTCTGAATATTTATAAAACCCTGCCATTTGCTGTAGGAATTTGTTATTTTACTATGTTACATGGAAATGTTTTAACTCGTTTAACTTAGCCCGGCTTAGAGGGTGCTCGCCTGCCATTTGGAAGGTCGTTCTGTGTTTCGGACACTTTGGTTTGCCTCTCGGGGCATCGGTTCCGGGGCATCGGTTCCGGGGCATCGGTTCCCTCTGTCTGGTTCGCCCTCCCCCCCCTCCCCGCCTCCTCCTCCTCCTGCGCCTCCTCCTCCTCCCGCGCTCGCTGCGCCCTGGGCTGCAGCGTGGTTCTGCCCTGCGCTGTTTCTAATGCTCCTTAAATCCACACGGCTCTTTTAAATTAAACTTACTTCTGTATTTCAGTGCTTGCTCTTCATTCCTGTCTTCCTTATGTCATTGATCATTTCTTACTGTCAACTCTTTAACTTTTTTGAGGTTGCAAAGCAGAGGCTTGGCTAAAAATCATTTTTCGTATATTCATCCTCTCACAACATCTAACATTGTGAGTTGTGAGTTTATCCTGGGTATACTACTATAATGCCGACACCTTGTGTTTTTTCATGTGTTTTTCTTTTCTTCTTCCTTTTTTTTGCGGGGGGGGAATGCAGCTATATATGTTGGGAGGTTATTTGTTGATTTCTTTTTTAATGTGTGTTTATTTGAAATGGCGTTGGGCTTGGCTGGTATTGGTCGTGAGTTTCCTTGTCTCTGCTCACTGTGGGTGTGAACACCATCCCGGCTCTCCTGTTCGGCGCTGGCTGGGAGCGCTGGCTGGGGGTCAGCGGCGCCCCCTGAGCCGGGGGCAGGGCGGCGGCCCTTCCTTCCCTCAGCGCATGGGGCGGATGGAACCTGACGGATGAGTGTTGCAGTATGTCCCCCCCCCCAGTCTTACCGGGGGGGGGGACAGGGAGCCCTCAGTCAGAGCAAAACGGTAGAAAGAGCCTTCCTCTCACAGGACACTGAGGTTGCGGAGGGTTCGGGGTGGTGGCCTGTGACTCCGGGGCTGCCCTCACCGGCCCCCCAGACTTGCTTCCCCTCAGCTGAAGTCGTTCCCGCGTCAGAACGCGGTTTCTGAAATAACGTTGACGTCACCTGGACCCAGCCAACGATGCCCGTTAGGAACATTTCCTTCTAGTCTTTTCTTCATGGACATACTTACACAGTGCTAATTAGAACACATATACTATTTTTATTTCTGCTTTTTACTTGGTGTAGTGCCGCATTTCATGATATGCAGTCTGACATTACCTTCAATGACTCCAAGTAACCCATGGAGTTTCTATGGGATAATTTTTTGCCTTCTCATTCTATTGTTGGAGCTTTAGATTGTTTCTTATTTTTCATAGACGGAATGTTTTTTCTGTATTTAGCAGTTTTATTCCTGTGAACTGTTTCCTCAGGAAAATTGCTGGGGCCTGAGGTTACTAGGTCAAAGGACAGGAATATTTTGTGGCTTATAATGCACATTGCTAAGTTGGCTTATCGAATTATTCTCCCAGTTTAAGATTTCATTTTAACCCAAATAAACCACTGATTCTTGTGTGCAAATGGTATGACGTTGTTTTGATATTTTCATTTAAAGCAAGTAGGCATAATTCCACGTGCTGAGTAACCACCTCCTTCTGCGTGCGTTGCGTCTCTGTGCTTCGGGACATGTTTAAAAGAGCGGCTCCGGAGCAGCGGAAGTCACGCTGGGATTCGAAGTCCTGCTTTGCCTCTACTTATCTGGGTCATCTTTTAAAAAGTAACTTTTCAAAGCCTAAAATGTGAAATGGGGGTAAAATCTACTAAGCCTAAGGGATACAGCCAAAATAGGATGACATTTATATCTTATGGTCCTTTTCGGGTACCAAAACCGAACTCTTCAGAAGCAGAGGGGAGAATTTATAAGAGAAGGAATTCATGGCTTCTGGTTTACAACAGAGGCTTGAGTAATCATGCAGAAGCCCCTTCCTTAAGGAGAGCCATACAATAGACTATCTTTGCCCATCTATTCAAGAAATAAGAAAATACAAACATTAAGGAATGAGAAAGGGAATAGGACTATAAATAGGGAGCTTGTTAATAATTTCATAAAAATACTATGTACATACACAAATGCCTTTGAAAATTTAGATGAAATGGCCAAGTTTGAGAAAATCATAAATCATTAGAACTAGTGGAAGAAGCGTTAAGAAACTAAAGAAACTAAAGAAACAGTTAAGAACTAAAGAAACTGTTAACCAATGGAAAAAAAACGAAACATTAATAAAAGATAACCAGAAACGGCACGATACCTGAAACCTTTTGCTACTGAATAGTTCCAGCAGACATTGAAGGTGAGAAATCTTTCCCATAATAAAAAGCACATACGTCAAAAGGAAGGAAAAGAACTCATTCCAAGGGGAAAGTTATTCTACACACAAACGTCAGCACGGTACACGAAACGGAAAAGCCACCAGCCGGTTGTGGCAGGGCCCGCGGAGCGCAAGGCCGGGCAGCCAGCGCAGGGGCTTGCGAGGGACGGCTTCCCGCCGCCCGGGTGCGGCAGCGGCTCCGGGCAGCGGTCCTGCGGGGCAGCAGGCGTCGGCCAGGCTGGCCACGCCGGGGGCGGGGCGCCCTGGGCTCCACGGACGGGGTTCCAGACGCGTTGGAAGGTGGCGTTAACCTGGGTTGCTGGTTAGTGGCACGTGTGGCCTCGGCGAGGAGAGACAGTGGCGTCCAGCTTTCGCCCGAGCACGTGGGCGAGGGGGTCGCGGTGACTGGGAGGGGATGGGAGCGTTTGCAGGAGGGGCAGGTGGCGGTCAGGGGCTTGGCTCGGGGGGCGCTAAGTTAGGGGCATTTCGTCGATTTCTAAGGGGAGATGTTAAGGAGTCGGGTGAGGATGGCGCGCAGGGCAGAGTGTGAGTCCGAGATACAGGCCTGAGGGTCTTCGGCAATGGGGTGATTTAAGGCCCCCCACGGAAGGCCGGGGTGCGGCGCGCCGGGGCGGGGGCCGGGGCTGAAGGAGAAGAGGAACTGCAGGGAGCAGCCGGGCTGTGGCCCGGGGTGTCCGCCCCGGGGACACTCACAGAGAAGGCTGACGGCAGAGGTGACCGGCAGCGGCCACGGCCATGCGGGGGGAGGGGGGGCGGGCAGGCCGATGCCACGGCCTGTGCGGCCGGTGGTGGCGGCGGGGACACCGCGGCGAGGGAGCCCGGCCTGCCCGAGGCCGCCGGGGTGTCGGGGAGACCCCTGGGGGAGGGCGGCGGTGGCGTCTTGTCACTGGAGCGACTAGAGCGAGTTGGAGGATGAGATCAGGGAGACTGTAGGCGGCAAAAGGCGGACACATGTCCCCAGAAGTTCTGCCTTAAAAGGCACACGGAAAAGGGAGCCATAAAAGAAGGAGCGAGAGAGGGCGGGGGCGACAGGGCTTGCGGAGAGTCCGGTGGAGCGCGAGGGCGAAGCGGGAGTAAGTGGCGCGCGGGCCCGCGCTGTCCTTGCCGTTCCCCGCACGTCCGCGCCGAGGGCGAAATAAAACCGGACAGAAAAACGTAAAAAGGCAGGAACGTTCTAACCAATGATGAGAAGCTCCTATTCAAATATTGAGGCCTCTGCTAAAATCCGAGGGCTCTTTTGCGTGCGATTAAGTGTTTATCCAAAGTACGCGCCTCGTGGCGTCCCAGCGCGTGGCTGTGGCCCCCCGCTGTGCGGGGTGCGGCTCGCGGAGCCGGGTGCCGGGCGGCAGGCCCGGTCCCGTCTTGCTCAGGCTCTCGCGCCCTCTGGCTGTGCCGCCCGACTCCCCTGGCGGTGCAGTGCGTCGCTGCCCGCGTGTGAAGGCCGGGTCACTTGAGCAAGTCCGTCAGCTCTCCCGCTGTGTCTCACAGAGCGGGAGTCCCCTCTGGGGACCGACAGTGCGGCTGTGCCTGGCTCCCCAGCCCCGCTGCGCGGCCCGAGGCGTCGCAGCGACTCACGGGGCGGATCGGAGTTTCCTGGGAAACGCAGGGGCCCCTCCGACAGCCTCACGGGGGTCGCACCTGAGGCCTTTCGACAAGGCTGTGCCTTAGCACATCCCTCTCCTCCGTGGCTGGGCCCTGCCGGAGAGGCAGCGTGACCACGAATGAGGGGCTCGGCGTCCAGCGGGGTCCCAAGGCTTGAGAAGCCGTGTGCCGCCCGGTTATGCCGCCCGGGCCCCGCTCACATTGAGTGGGGGCGTCTCAGGTGTGCTCAGCACACACCTCTCGTGGGCCCCCCTGGACGGCGGAGGCAGTGGGGGCTTTGCGGGGTCAACAGACAGACCCTCGCAGGCGCACAGCCGGACGGTGGTCCCTGGAGGGAAGGGGGTGGTGGGTGGGGGAGGGTAAAGGGGTCAAATAAATAAACGGGGACAGGAGGCTCGACTTGGGGGTTGGGGGGTGGGCGCACAGCGCGCTCCGAGGACCAGAGACCTGCACACCTGAAACCTGCATGATTTTATCAGCCCGTGTCATCCCAGCGCAGCCCCTTAAGAAATTAAAAACTGCTTTGAAAATACAAGTTCTTAACAACATCATTAAAATGCTGTTGTAGATTTCTGTTACTCAAGCCCTGGAATCGAACGTTTACATAACCCAACTGAAGGGACCCCTTAGCCAGCTTTTCTTAGATGTGCTCCCTGAGAGCCTCTGGGGAGCCCTGGTTTGGGGCGCCCCCCGCCCGCTCCCGGCGCCCCCTCCCTGCGCCCTCGCTGTCGCGGCGGTCCTCCCGAGGGGCAGCTCGACCCCCCAGTTCCCGCTGACCTCTCTAGTTCTACACGTCGCAGGGCATTACATTACTGTGAATAGTAACTACAGTAAAACATTTTGCTCCTATGATATTAAAGCGATTGTGATTGGCAAGCAAAAGAACCGAGGTGGACTAACCCAACTCTTCGTTAAAGATTCGAATTGGAAGCCTCAACAGCACCACAAATTAAAACCCCGGGTCGCAGCTCATCCCAGCTGGTGCCGAGGGGCACTTGAAAGCCAACGCACGTCCGCCGCCTCGGTCCCCACAGGAGAAAGCGAAGGCCCGGAGACGCGGCTGTAAGAAACCTCCCGATACAGCGCCCGGCCCCCGGCGCCTGCGGTTCTCACTTGGGCGTGGCAGCATTTTCTCTCCAAAGACGTGGTGGCCGCTGGGCCGCCATCCCAGCACCCCGGTCCCAGAAAGGGCCTCTCCCTGCGCTCTCTGCGTGGGGAGCCGTCCCCGGATTTCCGAGTCGGGGCCCCTCCGCGCGGGGACCCTGCCGGACGCTGAGACCGTGTGTCCCAGTGCGCGTCGGAAAGTGTGGCGGCCCCGCGGGGGTGGGGGGCGGCCCCTCCCACCTTTGCCTCCGTCCCGCGTCGTCCTGCTTCCCTGTCCCACCACTTCTTGGTGTGTGGGGCCCCCCACACGTCACCCTCGTCACTTCATTTCCTGGGGCTGCCTCACCTGAGTCCCTTTATAGGTCAGAAGCCGTGCGAGGTGGCGGGTGACCGGCAGTCCCCTCCAGGACGCAGTGCGGGGCGGGGCGCAGCGCACCGCATACGCCCGTCCGTTGGCCGCATGTCCCGGGGCCTGCCTTCCCTGATCCCATTGAACAGAGGAGTCTTGTCCCTCCCGCTCCGCCTCCTGTCGCGTGGTGGCCTTCTCACCCGCCGCGTGGCTCCCTTACTCCTGCTCTTCCAGCGGCGCGTCCGCTTCCCCGGGGCCAGAAGCCAATCTCCTCCGCTCCCTCTGTCCCCGGCGGGCCGAGCGCCTCCGCGGGGGGATCGTCCGGGCTGCGGGCGCGTGTTCGTGGAGCGGGCGGCGGGTTCACCCCTCCTTACGTTTACTGATTCGAATCCCACAGCTGTGTGCTGAGCACAGCACATGAGAGTAACGGGCAAGTGACCGCCTTTGGGAGCGGGGGACATCTGAGTGGTCAAGGAAGAGAAGGACGGCTTGAGGCGGTTTCCGAGGCGGAAAAGCCCCCCTTGCGTGGAGGGGGGCCGCCCCGAGCGGCTCGTCCCTCAGTCCGAGAGGGAAGCCCAGGGCTCTGTAAGCCGTGAGCGAGAGAATCGCACTGTTTTTCAAGTTCCCAGGGTCTGTCGTTGGGAGAGGCCTAGGAGGGCGAGCTCAAGCGCTGGAAGCTGCCGCTAGGAGATGCTTCTCAGGACTTGGAGGGTGACCGGCGGTGGCCGGTGCTGGGAGCAGCTCAGAGGCGTGTGGCTCCCCCTGGCCCGCAGGCCCCGCCTGCCGGGGGTGCCCCTCTGCCTGGTGAAGCCGGGGCAGGCCTGGCTGGGGGGTGGGGGGTGCTGCTGGGGCCACAGTGGCGGCTGCGGGGCGGGCCCTGGCCCTGTCCCAGTGGCAGGGCTGGGGAGGCACCCAGGGCATAGGCGCATCGATGCCAAGGACGGGCACAATGCGCTTGGTTTCACCCAGCGCTGTGCACTAGGGTGACTTCTCTAACATCTTAACAATGTTTCAATCAGCAAACTTTGTACATTTTTACCGATCAAGTTGTCTGCTACACTATATATAAAGCTTCAGAAACATAGTTGTAATTTGTAACGTTTGACATTCACTGTGAATAGGCGCGTATAGAGTCTGTAGGCGACTCTAAGTAAGTCCGCCATTTTAATTTGCAATCTATTTTTATAGTCGAAAATAGTAAATCCTACCCCATAAAAGCCCATTGGACAACAAGGATATAAAGTCAGACGCAGACCGTGTGCTTTACCATCCAGGGGATTTATGTTTTCCTTCACTTACTCATATGCCCTTTGTTTCTTTCTGCTCAAAGTACCAGGACACGAACATGCAGGGCGTCGTGTACGAGCTGAACAGCTACATAGAGCAGCGGCTGGACGCAGGTGGCGACAACCAGCTGCTCCTGTACGAGCTCAGCAGCGTCATCAAGATAGGTGAGCGCGGCCCGGCGGTGGCCGGCGCCCCAGTGCGGAGCGCGGCACCCCCGCGTGCGGCCCCGGGGCCGCAGGCCCCCTCGTCCCCTTCTATTCTCGGCTGTGCGGAGGGAAAACACCGTATAGGAAACTCCCAGAATTCCAGAAGCAGCATCTGCCTCATGTGTCAGTGGCCTATCATGCCTCTTCTCAATGAAGCCTAGTTTTCTTTGATTAGCTCCGTTGAACTAGATCACACACATACACAAGAAAGCATTAATTTTTAAGGAAGGAGAAGCATTTTACGTTTATATGGGGAGATGACAGCTTTATATACTATTGTCACCGTCTGCCTGATGGGAAGGCTTGGTGGACAGGCCAGAGCTCTTCCCCGAAGCCACAAGGCAGAGAGAAGTGACACTGGGTTTGCCTTTGGGTGACCCCTCCAAGACTCACTCTGTTAACCGCTGCTGCGATTGCCTTCGGATGACCCTGAGGCGGTTTCGGAAAAGTTAAATTCTGTCCTCTTCAGTGATGATAGGTAGATGGAAACGTCATTCTTTTTGGCTGATGCTTATGTTGGTTACTCAGTATTATGACTATCAATTCTAATAGCTTTAATACTTTAAAAATTAAATACAATTCTCAGGTTTTAAAAATAGTTTCCAATAATTCTGATGTTAAAGTTTGAGATGCTAGTATATAATGCACAGTCTGCTCTATGATTTGAGGTTGCTGCATCTTAAAATTTGCAACAGCTGATGAAATACTGCAATCGTGTAATTGAGTTAAGCCATACATGAGTTTGTTCAGTTCACTGCATGACCATTTTACATTAATAAACCCATTGAAAAGACGCCTCTCTGAGGCCTTAGAGAATTCACGCGTGTTGCATTCTTCTATTCAGATTAGTTTCTTCCTCTTTTATTGCCTTGGCAGCCACCAAAGCCGATGGATTCGCACTGTACTTCCTTGGAGAGTGCAATAATGTAAGTATCTAAATTTAGATGTTGGTGTTGTAAGCTTTTCAAAAAAGATGAACTATTGTATTAACAGTTTAACACACATATTGCAATTAAGTGCTTTAAAATCACCTTGTAACTCCTTTCTAGATGCAGTTTTTATCAGCCACGAATTTCACCGACGTGGCAACGCGTAAGCATAATATCTTGTCGCTGATGGATCGCTTCGATTTTGGCGTGTGGTAGCCTGTCCTACAAACGGCATTTCTAGATTTACAGTTTTGTGCAGAAGTTATTTCAACACTGTGGGTAGTGTCTGACCTTTCTACGCGCAATCTGCAGTAGAATAAAGTGAGAACAAAAGTTCAGCATTTTTAAAATGTGGTATTTTTAGATGTTTGAAGACGACTCTACAAGTCTGGGGAGAGTCGCTATAAAGGCCCCTCCCCGGGCTGTGGGGGCTGTGGGTCAGACCCTTTCCCGGTGGGGGCCTGCTGAGGGGCCAGCAGGGGGCCGCCCCCACCTTCCCTGGGACAGGCAGGCTTGCCTGACGCAGGCACGGCCCGCAGGCAGAAGCAGCCTGTACGAGCAGGCACACTCAAGGGTGTCTGAAGACGTTCAGTTACTAGCATTTGAGTTTTGTTATGGGATGAAAAACACATACGTATTTTAGAATCATATTCTGAACCAATGATACATATTCATAGCTTTACTACCTAAAAGTCCAGTGATTATATCAATATATTTGGCACACTTATACTGTGTATTTCCTGTGTGTTAGCCAGTGTTATTTGAGATGCTGGATGTTTTTTTTTACAACGTGGTGCCTACGGTCACGTGCTGCTACACTGTGTAAAATGGCACGGGAACAGCGATGCAGGCGGTGAGGTTCTTGGTGCTCATGAGTGACGCCGTGTGAGCAGGCGGCACCGCCAGCCGAGCTCCGGGCCAGGGGGCGACCCCCTTCGCTTCCCCAGCCCCGTTCCTCTCGCTCTGTGGGAACTTGTCACAGGACCGGCAGGTGCTGAGGGCCGGGACCTTCTCGCGGCCGTGCCTGCCTGCGCCCCGCATCTCGGCTGGCGCTTTCGAAGACTTCACAGGTGCAGCACGGCTGCTAATTGAAAGTGGCTGAGCTGCAGAAGCAACACATAGGTCTCCTATCTCCTGTTCATCCTAAACATGTATTTCTGACATTTTGGAATTTTTATTCAGAACTAAGAATTCCTTCTAGAGAATTCTCGTGTAGTTCGCATTTATTCTTACAATTCCCTGCTGCGAAGATGAGCCCCAGGGAGCAGGTCGCCTCCCAGGACCCCTCCCTGGGACCCCCACCCCCACGGGGGCCACCGGGCCGGGCTGCCGTCCTGGTGCCCCTCCCTCCAGGCACAGTCGTTTGTGCCCAGGGCGGAGCCCATCAGACCCTCTGCGGAAACTGACGCTCCGATGCAGCGTCTCTGGCTGTTCACTCAGAGGCGGGGGTCAACCCCGAAACGGGGGCTGCCACGCCGGCCGGCCCTCCCCTGCTTTGGGAGAAGGGCAGAGGGGCCCTTGCTGCAGGCGTGCGGGGGGCGGCCGCCAGGGGCGCCCGGGAGCCTCGGGAAGGGCCGGGCGCTCAGGGCTGGGGCTGGGGTCCCCGGTGGCCGCGCCGCACCCCTTGGCTGCGTCCTCCGCCCAGTTGTCTGTGGACGCCTTCGTGTGTGGACCCCAGTGACCTCCCTCTGATACGGGACTGAGGAAAAGCCGTGTGTCTGTGACGTGCGCGTGGCGACGCTGCGCCTGCCAGTCAGGGTGCCCTCTCCTCCCCCCCACCCCCGTTTGTGCCTTGGGGACGGTGACCTCCGCCCTCTCGGGCTCTCCTGCGGCCCCGCGTCTGGTCTCGTGACGCCACGTGGCGAGCCCTCCGCGTCCTCCCCACAGGCCAGGGCAGAGGCCCGCGGGCAGCGGCGTGTCCCCGGGCCACCGGCGCGGGGCGCGGCGGGGCTGGAGCCTTCTCTGGCCTTGCGGGGCCCGGCCCCGAGCCTCCCGAACGCCACGCTCGTCTCCCTCGCGGAACTTAGCCGAGTCCGTCTTACACGTTCATCTGTGGTTCTGGGGTGGTTTGCGTGCCCGGCCTTTTCACGAGAATACGCGCTTCCTGAAGCCAGGCCTTACCTCCCTGGGAAGATAATTTCCGGGGCTGGTCCCTGCGTTTTGTGGACGGTGTTTTTCCATCTCTGTCCCCCGCGTGGGTCGCAGCCAGGGCCGCCCGGGCGCTCGGCTGGGGGCTCCGCGGGGTGGGGGGAGGCCCCCTGGAGCCCGGGGCTCGCTGACGGGCTCCGTGGGCCGCGGGGACGGGACTGCCCCTTGGCCGTCGTTTCTCCCGGCGTCGGCGTCGCAGCCCTGCCGTTCGGGGCCGCTCCTTCGGCCCCGCGGGACTCCCCGCGCGCAGGCACCGGTTCGGGAGAGCAGTTCGTCTGTCGGAATGTGTCTTCATGTCACCGCTGTCCTTGATATTTCTGCCGGACAGAGGGCTCCGGCCCGCCCCCCTCTTCTCCCCCACTCACTTTTATTTCTTGAGATAGATGGACGGTGCCTCTTTTACATCCTTTTATAGTCTTTCGGGACTTGCAGTTTCCTGGCTTTTGTTTCATTCCTCTTTCATCGATGGTGACGTACTTGCTCATGTGTTTTATGTTTTTCTCTTTATAAACGGTGGGTCCTCTTATTCCCGAGGCCTTTCAAACTGGCCGCCCTCGAGGCTGGTGTCGAAGCGCCTGTCCTGGACACAGGGCATGCAGGGCATTTGCTCGTGCCCGTTACCTAAGGAGGCTCTTCCAGTCCACGACTCTTGTAATTAAATGAGCTGATTGAGATTTTTTTTCCAGACTGCAGAGCGGTTTAGCTCCCAGCCTCACACGCACGCGGGGCTCGGCGCGGCCGCAGCCAGACAGCCAGGGCGCCTGGTTCCAGGACGCGTCCCCGCCGCGGCGCGTGCCCTGCCCTTCAGCCTCTGGTGGGCCCTGGCCGCGCGCAGGGGGCTCCGCCAGCTCCCACGGGGCTTCCCCGGCCTCTGTCCCGCTCGCCACGCGGCGTTGCTGAGGGGGCGTCAGCAGATCCAGGCTTTGGAGGATGCCTTCAAAACAGAGCAGTTCGGGCTGTGCCTCGCCGAGCTCCTTCATGCACTTCTTTTCAGGTTTCTGTGGATTCCTTCCGCTCTTCTAAGCCCGGCAACGCGCTATAAGGGAGCTCTAAGTTACACTGTACCCCGCCTTTAAATGGTTTTACAGTTGCTTATCTGCCATATTGCTTGCAGCAGGTGTTGGCGTACTTCTGACGTGGAAGCTAACTGCACTAAATAGAATAAACTGTCTTTTGTACAGAGGAGCAGATACAGATATATTTTCTGACATTCCATCCTTTTGTACATGGAAATTAGCATATTATATGTTTCCCGATGTTTTTAAAAATTGCCTACGGATTTTGAATCATAGTTAGAAAGCTTTCTTAGAAAACTTCTTCTCAAAACAAAGTGCATATGCTTTAATGATGAAATCACAACATGCAACCTGCACAGACATAAGATGCGTAGCCCAGATCAATCAATACCACGATTAAGAGACAGGCAGGAAGAATGATAAAATTCTTATACTTTTAAAGTATTCATTCCTTTTTTTTCCCATAAATGATAGTGCATATAAATAATTTTCTGAAATTCATGTACTGAGAAGCATCATGTAAAATAATATTTAAATATATCAAAAGCTCCACGAGTAGAGTGAAAAATCAGCATTCACATTGCCAGAGAGGAAAAACTTAAAGAAAACACAGAAAGTCAAGGAGAAAACAAACGAAATAGTATGAAAACACTAAGAATAAAACAAGTATGACTATGAAACTTGTTATGAAAATATGCCATAACAAAATGACGCATAGAGTAGGTCCACCTATTAACAAAATTGCAAATCAGGTTAAAAGCTCCACAGCTTTCCTTTGTTTTATAGAGGGACATACAAACAAAGGACGTACAGTGAAAGAACAATTAAAATAAAAAGGAAATTTTAACTGGAGCGAAACTCCTCCCGAAACACGCAGGGAAAGGCGAGCAGGCACGGCAGGGCGCGCGGCAGGGCCGCCCATCAGGCCGGGAAGCGCTGGCGCGGAGAAGGAGGCGGCGCGGCGTGCGCTGCTCTGAGCTCTGCAGTCAGCTTTTGGTCCATGGAGATTTATGAAGCAAAGCGACTTCACCAAAGAACAGGGCTGAAGAGTGCAGTGAAATGTTTAGTAACTGACAGATCAGAAACACGGTTTGCAGGATATGTATTAGCCATATCGTTAATTAGGTTTTTCAAAAAATTTACATAGAGAGTTGTTTATTATTTTATGATTTCCCAACTTGGGGTTCTCTTTCTTCTTCAGGTTATATCCTACTTGGATACATTTAGCCCCCATTTAAGAAATTCAGGTCCCTATAATGGCTAAAGACAAGGAAATTAAACCTTGGCATTTAAACATAAATGATATGCCAAGAAAAAAAATGCAGTTAATGGAATATTTAGAGAACACTGCTGATGACAATGAATTACAATATTGCTAAATCTGTGAACCAAGTTATTCAAGTGGAAAATTCACATTTTAAGGTATGAAACATTTTATATCCCTTTTTGAAACATTAAATAAGAGAGCAAAAATAAGTGAATGTGTCACTTGGGCGCGTTTTTATCGGGCGCGATCAGCTGACAGTGTGCCCGGTACCAGAGGCACCGCGGTAAATGGAGGTTCCTGCCCCCTCGGGATTCACCAGCTCCGCCTGTGGATGTGGAAAAAGGAAATCCGTTCCCAAGAGGAGCTGTATGTGCTCTAAAGATAGGCCGTTGCCAACCTCATTGACAAAAAACAGAAAACACAGTTCTATATGTCGAATAATAAAAAAAAAAACAGTAAAACAATAGTTACAGTGAGAATGACAAATTATGAGAGGACCCTTGGATGAATACAGCTGGAAGTTTAAATAAAATGGACAGTTTTTGAGGAAAAGAGAAGCTGCTCCA